AGAGCGATGTTTTATTTGCATTTTCTAATGCCGCCGTCACCGTTGCATATGGAGGCGTTAAAATCACATACATTCAGGAATACATCACTCCTCACCGAGGAAAGGAGCCAGGCGCTTTCCCCGTCCTCACCCATGGATTTTAAACCACTCATTTAAGGTGTGGATAAACCATGATGCGTGTGCATGTGTGTAAATGAAGAGCTATGGGGGTTTTTTTTCAAGGGCTCCGTGCCTGCAGAGGGGCTGGGTTTCCCAAACAGCTCGGCACCCAAGATCTCCAGCTCTTCAGAAAAATCTGGCCTCTAAGACGTACGGGAGGAGTTCAGAGCAAGCGGCTACTTGGGAACCGACAGCGCCAGCCAGGCCTGGGCGGGCTAGGCTAGCGTGTGAGTGCCTCCCTCCGCACACAGCAGCAGCAGATGTGCAGACACAGGGAGCAACATGGGCCAGGGGGAGGGGTGCAGTGCATGTGCGTGGGGGGGGCAGCGGAGGGGGGAAGGACTGCGGTATGTGCTTGTTCCCACTCCTCTCTCCTCCGTCGGACAAAAGCGTGCACTGTGTTTTTGGACGGCGGGGCTGCATTTCAGCTGGAAGAATCTGTTCCCCATTAGCGTCTCCGGCAGAGTTCATTACCACAGCTGGCAAGCTGGCCAAGGAAGGGGGGAGGGCGTGGGGCAGGAGCTGCCAGCTGCAGCAGTCGCTAATTAGCACCACAAGTGAGGCCTGGGGTTGGGGGCTGGGGAGGCCTTTGACTCAGTCCCCCTTGCCAAGGATGCAGAATTTCTGGGCTGAGGATCTGATCCAGAGCCAACTGGGCAGGTTCCCACTTACTGCCGTGGGCTTCGGCGCAGCCCTCCCCATCCGGAGCGAGAGCTTCGTGACGGCTCCATTCCCACCCTCTCTTTTTTGGGTTCCTCTCTGACCCGGTCGGTCACTTGGGTACGGGGGGCTCCCCAGCCCAGGCGCACGCTTCACCCAGCTCCTCTACGCTGCATCGCAGATAGGATCGCATTCCCGGCAAGCTGCTCAAGGCAGGAGGCCTGGATTTCTCTCCTTCCTGGATGCAGAGGCTGGGACCTGGTCGTCAGCCCACTTCAATCATGGGGAACCTTCCCCGGACCTCAGGCTCTCACGTGCATACGGAGCCGTGGCCTTGGAGAGACCTGGGCTCCAAGCTGCTTTAGAGCAACACTAAAAATAAGTGTATTACTGAAGCCTCTTCCTCCGGGGCGCCGGGCCAAGATCACAAAGGCAGCATCTGGCCTTTTGACCAACTGACCCATTTGGCCTGGAAGATTTTTTTCCCCTCAATGAGACGGAAATGAAGCTTTCACTTTGCCGGGTCTGCCTTTGCCTCCTGACAGAGCGGGAGGGCTGCTGTAGGGAGTGATGTGGGTAACTCTGGAGGGAGCACCCTGACCCCCACAACCATGCAAATTGCCTCATCCTGCAACGGGGTGCTGTGCCACTGTGGGTGTTTTGGGGGAATCAGTAAAGAGGAGGGGGACTCCTCGAGTCAAAGCCAATATAACAGCCGGGTGCTAGAAGCATCGACTTGGACCACGTGCGAGTTTTATCCCAGCAATCTGAGCGGTCACCCCAGCATCCGGGCCTAATCTCACCCCAGGCATCTCCATGTTGCCAGCTCCTGCCATTGCATTGTGAGCCCTGCAGTATTTGCTGGTTTCTTAAAGCTCCAGCTCCTGGAGTCATGGGGCTTTCTTTTTAAATAAGCATCTCCATATGCACCTTTTCTTTTTCAAGTCATTTTCCAGGCCTCGTGCCTCAGAGAAAAGCTGGAAAACAGGAGCCTTAATAAGTCAAAAGCCAGAAAGCACAGAAATAAAACCTCACATGCATTCGTAAAGTCTCACTGATTTTAAGAAAGACGATCCCGTGACTGAGATGGGGGAGACTCGCTGCTGCCTTTTGAGCGCTGAGGGGTGGTGGTCCCCGAGTCTCGTGGCTCTTGGAGGTCCCCTTGCCATTGTAAAGACAAACAAAAAACCCCTCTCCCCTACTGATGTGCAGCTCCACCGCACAGAGCAGCTGCTGCGCTCCTCCCCCGAGGCAGAGGACACGATCCCGCTCCGGGGGCAGAGCTGGTGAAGCACCAAGCAGTGAGAGGCGCTGTAGAAATGGCCAGTTATTTCACGGCATCATTAAAATTACTGAGCACCCTCCCTTCCTATGTGGCTGCTTTCTCTTTCTAGCCCCAGCACAAATAAAGCCCAGTGGAACAAGCCTACAGAAGTATCCAGCTGTAGCCAAGGGGATGCACCCCAGGAGGTATCTAACCATCTACACCCTCCTCACTAGCCTTGGGGCCGGGGAGTCCTCTCTCAACATGCCAAGCAAGGGGATATATCCTAGGGAACGTCTCTCCCCAGACTCCCTCCATGCTCCTAAGGAGGAAGTGAGGAGGATGCACTCTTGAATTTCTCCTCTGGGGACAACTGCCCACATGCAGGCCTCCCTGCAGAGGTCCAGGGACTTCCAGGACCGCCCATGGCCAAGCACGTGACACAGCAGCCACAAGGGTCAGAAATGAAGAAAAAGACATTTATTTACAGTAACAAGTAAAACAGATGAAACGCATGTCCACCTTCCACGCCCCGTCCCCTCGGTCCTGCCCTCCAGCTAATGGCCAGGCAGGGCAATGGGGGGAAGCCCACGGTGGGTGCTGTTCCAGGGGCAGAGGAAACCAGGTGTCCATTTCTGTACAGCTGTCACTCCAGAGGCTGTGTCAACAAAGCCTTCACCCAGTGTCCTGATGGCTGCTGCTCCATGGCTTGTGTCTTTGATTCAGGACAAAGTTTTCCTGTAACCAGGGGGCAAGGAGAAATGGCACCTTGCAGCAGGGAGATCCTGGGCATGGATGTGCAGGCCTGGCTATGGGAAAGCCCTGTAGGGCACCCTTTGTCAGCCACCATGGGGGCAGCTAAGGGAAGGCTCGGCATGAGGAGATGTGGTTGTATCTGTGCAGGCATTGGAGCCGCAAGGAGATGGCGATATTTATTGCACTTGGCTGCCGATCTCAGCACTGAGAGAGGGGCAAGGGGTAGAAAGCTGTTTGCAACAGCAAAGGGGAGAGGAAAAGTTTGGTCCCTAATGCTCCCTCCTCCAGCTGGTCCTCTGCAACTCGGAGATCCCCGACGTCTGGAACTGGTCTCTGATGCCACAGCTCCCTTCCCGGAGGGGACAGGAGCAGAGTGGGGAAGGGGCTTGTGCTCATGTTTCACACGGCAGTGCACAGTGCCTTGTAGACTCTTGTGTCCCACCATGAGAAGGGAAGCTTGCCAGAGCCCTGTGCAAACACCTCTTCTGGGTGCCCTGGACATGGGCTGCTGGATACCTAACTGCCAAGCAGGTGATATCCGTGCACGCCATACCACTGAAAGCCAGCGAGAGCACTTCACAAACCCATGAGTGGGCACTGAGACCTTGCCCAAGCTGTCCACTAGCCACACGAGGGCCCCTGGCACCAGCACACCTGGGCATTATCCTTTGCTGGCTGCAGCAGCAGGCATCAGCTCACAGGGCCCTGGAGCAGCCAGTCAGGCTGCCGGTGGCATTCACAGACGTCCCCAGACAGCAGCTTGGGTGAGCTTGGGGCTCACCAGGCAGCTCAGGTTCCCAGTGGACGGCTGCATGGCGTGGGAAGATGGTTCTCCTGCACTTGGCTCAGGCGGCAGGGAGCACCCGGGCTGCTGGTGCAACCCCTCAGCCGATGGCTTGGCGGCCCCCAGCCCCGGTGGTCAGACAGCACCAGGGGAGGTAGAGAATGAGCATCACCCAGTGTCCTGCAGGCATCCAACAAGTCTCTTGATGCCCCGAGGTTCGAAATGCGGGAGAGAGAGATTCACCCATCCCTGGGTAGTGTCCAGGCTCAGCTTACTGGCTCCAGAGCAGCCTCTGGTCTCTTGGGCTCTGGATTCCTTCCATTTCCACGTGGGTTTCTCCAGCATTGGCTCAGGAAACCTGCAGGATCCTCCCAGCCCATGACAAGTGGCATCTTCAAGAGGAATGAGACACAGAGACAGGAAAAGGGAGATTCCCATTCTCAGCCCCCTTGTACCTTCCCTCTTTCCTCCATCCAGTCCCTGTGGCGGTCGTGCCGGGGATGGGGCTTTGGCTCTGGTTTCCTGCCATGCCTCAGGAGGAGAAGCACAAGCCGCAGCACTCCATGCAGATCTCCAGGCAGTCCGCGGACTCGCAGCAGGCGTCGATGATGCCGCAGTCCATGTCGCAGGGCAGGTCGCAGTCGGCGCACTCCCCGGAGTTGCAGCAGCAGCAGCAGATGCAGGAGTCCTCGGAGGTGCAGGAGCCGCAGGTGGCACAGTCCAGCACGATGTTGCAGAGGGTCAGGAACTCGCAGAAGAGGCAGGAGAGGATGCAGTGGACGCAGCAATCTAAGGGGGGGCAGAGGGAAGGAGGGCAGAGAGATCGGGGATACACCAGACATGGCGATGAACGGGAAGGAGAGGATGGGGGGGGGGGGGGGGGAAGACAGGAGTGAAGGACACTGTTAGACATGGACACCAGGCCCACAAACCCTCTGAAGGACTCCACGGCTTTGGCAGTACCACTCCTAAGAGGTACAAGGCTTAAGTCTCCAGCTCCACAGAGAACAGCACAAACAGCAGGGGAGGTCCTCCCAGTCTGAGAACAGACATTTGAGACCTCTTAGTTCTGCACCAGCCCAGGCCAATACCTAGGGCTGTGGGGATATGGGGCCTCTGAATGGCATTAGTGCCAACCTGTGCTGTCCTTGAGACTCCACGTAGGATCTAGCTTTTTACTATTGATTTTGGCTAGAAGGCGCACAGATCCTACCATGGTGGATGGCAGCACAAACTCTCAGAGAGAGAAAAAAAAACCAGAGGGCAAGTGGAGAGAAGCCTTCAGACCTTCAGTAGCTATTAAACACGGGAGTTAGGGATACAGCCTCTGAATCCAAATTTCCTAGACCTTCAATGCTGGAGGTTGCAAGTGAGAGAGGAAAACCCTTGGTCACACCCTGTTCCCTCTCCCATTCAGCATCCACTCTCTCCCCTAAGCGACACAGGAGATGGGGCAAGATGGACCTATGGCCTGACCCAGTAAACAGCAGTTCTCACGTTCCTGTGCACCTCAGCACTGGGGAAACGAGGACTTTGGCACAATGGGCTGCTTCCACTTTGCAGGGCTACGCCTGAATGAGGGAAGCAGGGCTGAGAAGAAGACGGCTCCTGGGACTCTCTGGAGCATCTCTGGAGGTAAGAATGGGCCAGGTGAAGGGGGTGCCTAGGTTATCACTGCACCAGGAGGGAGGCTGTGGACTAAAAGGAAAGGCACCTAAAGGTGTGTGACAACCGTGGCATGAGGCAGAAGGACTTAGGTTTCTTCAGGCAAGCAGAAAGCTCAGGGGAGCAGAGGACCTGAGGGGTGAGATCAGCTTAGAGAAAAAAGGAAGGAGAGGGAAGAACGGTATTAGCCTCTTGTGAGCCACATGGCTGGCTGGCTGGCTTGGGCAGCCCTTTGTGCTTTCAGAGGCCACAGTCCCTTTCTCCCCGTCCCCTGATCAGTGGTGCTTTCATTCCCATTAGCGTTAGCAGTGTCTGAGGGACAAGGGAGGGAGGGACACAGGGACAGCAAGTACCTTCCTGGGCCTCAATGGGGATCTGAGAAGAGGCCGATTTGGAGCTGCCTTTGCTCTTCTTGCTGCTCTGGCTGTTGATGGAGTGGTGGGACTGCAGCTTCCGGTGAGGCTTCTGGGAGCTGGGTAGCGAGTGAAGGACGCCGTTCCCCGCCTCTCCATTAGCACCGCCTGGGTCCGGGACATGCCCAGCACCGTTCTGCAGCAGCGGGGTGCAGTCCTTGGGGGTGGACGGCTGGAGACCCTGCTGAGCTGCTCGGACCTGGGGCTGGCCTGGTGTCGAGAGAGAGCGGTAGGTTAGCGTTAGACAGCATGACCTCCACAATACCATCTGTCACGGCAGAGAGGACTAGTCCTGACTGTCCTGGATGTAAAGGCACTTCTTTTACTGAGCTTGCGGGATCTGGACAGGCCTGTGGTTCTCCTCACCTCTTAAGCTCTCAGCCTGTCCTACCTCAAGCCACCCCAACAAGTCTCCCCAAGGCCTGACAAGGACCATGCAGCTTTGGAGGGGATTAGGGACGACAGGAAAGTGAGATCTTGCCAATGCTCTAGAAGAGGTACGCCTGCTCCTGCCTGGTCAGCCCATCTCCTGGGCTCTCCCAAGGCAGCAGCGCCATTACATCCAGTCACTGAGCAAGCACAGACAGAGATTTAGCAAGGCAGCAGTTCATTAAGCACTTAGATCATTAGCTCTTTTGGGCAAGGGACCATCTTTTCATTATCCATTTTCACATCTTCTATCACAACGGGTCCCTGATCCTTGCTTGGGGCCTCTGCATATAATAAATCATAATTAATAATACACCACACACAGAATGAGGCGAGTCTAACTGATCTCTGAGAGCCATCCTTTTTAATTCCCAGAGAGAAATGCCTCCACCATTCCTTCATGCTGGGGTGCTTGAGAGTAAGGGAGCTGATTAAAGTACCCAAATAAGCAGCTGATTTTCAAAGGGGCTGGGAACCCACAATACCTGCTGAGGTCAAACCAAGCCAAGGGTTTTCCTGGGTTGCAGCAGTTTAGGAACCCAAATAAAAACATTTTAGCCTGAATGCATTGGGTTCATAGGCTCACCATCTAAAGCATCTTCTACTTGTCACTGCTGGAGACAGGACATGGGGCTATAGATGATTCATTGGCCTGGCTCAGTGTGGCACTGCTTATATGCCAATGTCCTACAGCCAACAAGATTTAAACCCAGGGGCCTCAGCAACACACCACAGACCTTCACTGCTTGAACTAAAGGAGTAGCTCCTTGGATTGGCAGCAGTAGTTGGCTGCTATCCTCCAGTGGACCAACAGAGGAGACGAATGAAGAAGAAAGTCCTCATGGGTCATACATGGAGTAAACCCATCTACAAGCATGTGACTGTGCATGTGTATGAAGCCAAAGGAAAATGCCATTTAAAAGAGGGCTGCAGCAGGCCTTTGTATGGATCCGCTCCAAAACCAGGCTTATTTGTGTTTCATTTAAATCAGATTTAAACCACCCTGAAATAAGTTGCTCAGGCTGAAACAGGAGCCACTTGTCACAGGGGTTCACAACAGACAATACAACTGCTTGAAGACGATGCCTTTATTTAAAATGATACAACTGGGCGTGTGGGTTGCAGGGTCAGAGGACGGTGTCTGGGCAGGAAGGAGGCAGCAGAAGCTTTTTGCTCTGCATCCCGAGCAAGGCTTGCACACATCCTGGTGTTCGCAGGCAGCAGACGCCATCCTTTGGGGGACCTCAGGACAAAGCCTGGATGTTGCTGGAGCTGGTGGAAACATTTCAAAACAAAGCATAGGCAAGTGTGGACATGGGAAGAGGCAAGGGGAGGTTTGGGGATATTCACCTTCCTCCGGTTGCCCGTGTGAAGCTGAGACACGTTTCTAGCTCTTGTGGACCCTCCCTAGCAAAGACCTTCTGCATTTCTAGCTCATGGGGCTTTAGGCCCTCTGGTTATACTCTGCTGAGAAACTGGTCTGTTCTGACCAACCCTCCTCCCGCAGCTTCACACACATGAGCTAGGGAGGAATAAGGAGGCCAAGGAAACTAGGATTCTCAGCTGGTGGTTCAGGACATAAGGAGTGATGCTGATTTCCACCAGCTGAAGATCTGGCCTGATGCATGGGCACGAGGAAAGGGAGGCACAACACTGCTGAAGAAGGCGGAAATGCCCAGGAAGAGGAGAGACACATGGAGCAAAAGCTACAGGGTGCAGGAGGGGAGGAAGGCAAAAGAGAACAGTGAAAGGAGATGGAAAAGAAAGAAGAGACCTAGGGAAGGAGAGCTCAATGATTAGGACATCCATCTACAATTAGGAGAACTGGGGTCAATTGCTTGCCCATCACAGATCTCCTGCGTGACTGCAGACAAACCTCCAAGCTGTGGTGCTGAAAGAAACACTGCCCTTCCCTTCAGGACTTTTGGGCATCTGTCCCAAAAGTCCTGGTTGCATGCTTGGTTATTATGGCAAAGTGGGTCATACAAGATATTCATCCCAAAAGAGAGAGCAGGAAGTCAGCATGCCAAACACTTCAGGAAACTTGGTCCATTGAGGAGATGAGGGCTGACCACTGCCACCAACTTTAACTGAGTTAGGGACATTTTTCAAAGCTGTCCCACTGCTGCTGCCACAGGTTGCTCTCTAGTGGTGGCAGGGAGGTGGACAGACTGCTACTGCTGTGCTGGGCCAGCCTGGGAGACACTTTAGGTAAGAAACATCTATGCTCCAAGCTACAACATCACTACTGCCTGCACCGGGCGAGATCCCGAGCACCAGTCACACAGATCCAGGCCACCCCGGTCAGGTGTCTGAAAGCCCGTGCTCGATTCCCACTTGAAGCTGAAAGCCCATGCTTGATTCTAGCCTGTGGTCCAACCGGGGACGGACAGTGAGAAAGACACTTGACAACCCCGCACCGTGCAGTTCATCGCTTGAAACACATCCCGACAGCAAAAGCAAACCAGGCCTTTAATTAAAGGGATTCACAACCTCTGGCTGAACTTTTCTTTGGATGTTAATGGGAGGAATATTAATATCGGCTTTATCTGCGACTCCCCCTCGTCCTCACGTTCAGCTGAACTGAGACTGGCCAGCTTCCCAGCGCCCAGCCGATCTTCCCGGTATGAGCCAAAGTCTTGCTTGGCTCTACGGCTCACCTTGATGGTGCAAGACACCTGGTGGAAGGGGGCTGGAGTGGATTTTAAACCTCCTCTCTCCACGCATTGTAAAATTTGCCTCCTGATTGACCGGAGACGGGGCTTGGGCTGCAGATCAGAAGGGGCTAAGCGCTGCGCTCCCCAGCCGCAGCGATAAATAAATAAGCTGCCTGGTGTCATCTCTGCCAAACTCCGATTCTCCCTCTCCCCCTCTCCTCGGCAAACGCGCGATGATTCAGCAGAAAGGCTTGAGGGCAAAGGGCCGGGAGCCAAGCAGGGGAACAGTAGCCGTATTCTGCTCAGGGCGTCAGTGGGACAGGGAGCCTGAACTCCGGGGCCGAGAAGGGGCAGGACTGAGTCACGCTGCAAACATCAAGCAAGACCTCCAAATACAAGGTGCTTCTGTCTTGCGCCAGGAGCAAGCAGGCCGCTCGCGGGCAAAAGCTGAAAGCCGCGGAGGTAGAAAAGCAGCGTCTTGTTTTTCTAGCCTGGGTAAGCTGGGGAGGGCTGGGAGCCTCGCACAGCACCGGCCTTATGATGTGCAGCAGCACCGCGAGGTGGGGAATGCAGGGCAGGAAGCCGAGAGAGGGAGTTGTCGCTTCCTGCAGTGGGGGGGATGGCGGGGAGAGGGAGTCCAGGGGCTCCTCGCTTCCTTGGTCCTGCTGGTGGGTATGGCAAAAGAGTTGGCTTGGAAGCCACGTGGCCAGCAAAGGATACTTACCTGGCAGGGGAAACACCATGCATCTGGGTCCAAGAAGGCAATGCTCCTTAAGTGCTCCCGAGGATAACTGTTCTTCTGGCGTGGTTTAGTACCTGCCGAGGTGTTGGGGCTTAATGCCCATTTTATGGAAACGGGAGGCTCCTCCCTAGCTTGCTCCTGCACCATATGGCTGAGGGCAGGCGAAACTTGGGGGCATCCGAATCCCAAGCTTCCGAGCTTTCGCCTGCCCATAGGATGCTTGCCAAAAGACTTTGGAAATATCTGAAGCCCCTGGTGGGGGTGGAAGATGTTTGCCGGTTGTAGGGCCACTTATGGTTTTGGACTGACTCATGGATTCAGACTTGATTTGGCTGGCAACACGAAAAATTTCTTTTAAAAGGGCCAGCAAAGGATACTTGACCCCTCTCATATACGCCTACACAAGCCAGGGGTGTCCCAAGCTGCCACAGGGGCTGAAGGCTGGTTTTAGTGCGTTCCTCCTCTGTGGGGCAGTGAAGGCAGCTGAAGTAACTGGATCACGAAGAGGGCTGTGTTGGGTGCGAAGCCCCATCTCAGGGCATGATTGAAGGCAGGTGGAAACAGCCAGGAGCAAGGCAGTGGGAGGGGAGGAGGAAGGAAAGAGTGACGAGAGAAACGGAAGAAAGAGCAAGCAAAATTTGGGTAAAAGCAGACTCCCCTCTTCCACACTTTTGGCCACTGGAGCCATGTGACCATTGGTATCACGTGGTGCCCTTACAAGTTCATTGACTGTCACCATGAAGGTCCCATCCTGCTCCTAATAAAGTCTACGGGAAAGATGTCCTCACGGATGTCAGTGGAAGTGGGGGTGGGCCTGAAACATCATGCAGTGGAATAACTTGGAAACGAGTGTTGGCAGAGAAGCAAAGGAGCCACAGCTCAAGATGGCCAGGGTCTGGTTTCCAGCAGGGCCGGTTATATTCAGTTCCCACTAAAGTCAGCGGGAGCTAAAGCGACTTGGCGCCTCTGGAAATCAGCCTCCCAACAAGTTTTCTATCATTATTTATCACAAGCCATTTATAGAAGTTATGTTTTTCTAGGTTTAATCTGGACTACAGCTGTAACTATATACATGCAAACGTCTGTAGTCTGAATTCAAATTGGTTCCAGTCTGAATGAACTAATCCTCATTGAATAAGCATTAAAATTAACGCAGGCTAGGGCAGTCTGAATTAGGCAATTTCAGCTGTATTAATTAACATGTACAGGCAGCGTTGCTTTTAGGAAAAACAGTCCTTAGGAACTCAGATCAGCACTGCAAATATCGGTCCCAGCAAGGGAAACTCGATTGGGTTTTTGCAAAACAGTGGAAGGTATCAGGTGCAAAGTAACACCTTTACAAAAGCAAATGTGCCAAGAACAATTCACCCTGCTCCGTATCA